GGCACAGTGAGCCAAGGTTGAACTAGTGATTCACTGGATGAAATTTGATTGCCTGTTCTAATGAGACAGCTACACAGGTTTACGATGCCTGATTGAAGGCTGAGTACTTCAAGACTACCTTTGGTCGTTATGATCAGTTGGAACTTCGCAGTGCGACCAAGTTTATAGAGACTAGCTCGGAATGTCGTCCTCGTATACATTTAGAAGCATATGGAATATGAAGACTAGCTTGAAAGTATCCACTAACAGTACCTTGAGGTAACCTGTTTGGTTAGTTAGAGTAACTCTGTATGCCTCCTCCGGAAGTCAAGGATACCAATCTTTGTCTTCACATAGAAATAAGATCTTGTGAGTAATAAGCTGTACGTTGTAAGCTTACAGTAATGACTACACATTTTGTCAAACGCACATTAGTTAAGTACGCAGATGACCTAACAGTATCCATCGCTCATCCCTTCAGATTGTTCCCACCTCAAAAACTTCTTGACCTAAATTAATCAACGATTCTTCTTAAATGGCCTCACAATCCTTCTAAATGCCGGATGACTGATTTCAGCATAAAAAGTGAACAAGACCTACACGAACTGCTTTGGTCCCATGACCCGTCCCTCAGTGATAGGTCTGTTACAGAGAGTCTGTCAGGTGCGATCCTTTGTGGCGTACACTTTTATTGTTTTTTCCGTCCACCATATTTTACTCTTTTCCAGGAAATCCTTCGCTTTAGTTTCCGCATAAAAAAACTCAAACTCTACCCTTGCGTTTTGTCAGTCCGCGTTTTGCTTATACTTGCTTATCGTTCCCCTTTATTCTTTCCTGGATGCCGGAAAAAAAAATATACTGCCTTGTGCAGGATTTCGAAAGCTCTTGGTAAAGGGAGTGGTACACCACTAACCGCATTAATAAACGCGGTTGCGGATAATACGTAACATACCTAAACCATCATGTTTTATGTGAGAAATCACTTCAGCTAATCATCGGCAAAATCCGGTGTTTCATTACCTAAGGTTGGCTAATACTTGCAGTCGGTCACACACACTCAACAGAAAGGATATATGTGCGAGTAACGAAGCCGAAACACATTCACAGTCTGCTTTTCATCGTCTAGTGACAGAAGACTTTGGTATTTGCCTACTTATCTCGGCTGTCTGTGAGTGACTAGAGCAGGAGATTAATGAACGTATTCTGTAATCACTATACAACAGTTTCTTGATTTTGTTACAAAATGAGACGTAACGTACCAACTCGCATACTTCAAACACTGTCCCAAAGATCATGGACACACTAAGAACTAAGTGAATTCCAGATCACGAAGTGGGCATGGACACACTCTCCATAATTATTTTTGGAGAGTAGATTCACGGTTGTATCACCGAAGGTGAGAGATCATGAACTAGAAAATGCAATATACAGCACCAGATGGTTGCCAAGACCTTGGCACAGTGAGCCAAGGTTGAACTAGTGATTCACTGGATGAAATTTGATTGCCTGTTCTAATGAGACAGCTACACAGGTTTACGATGCCTGATTGAAGGCTGAGTACTTCAAGACTACCTTTGGTCGTTATGATCAGTTGGAACTTCGCAGTGCGACCAAGTTTATAGAGACTAGCTCGGAATGTCGTCCTCGTATACATTTAGAAGCATATGGAATATGAAGACTAGCTTGAAAGTATCCACTAACAGTACCTTGAGGTAACCTGTTTGGTTAGTTAGAGTAACTCTGTATGCCTCCTCCGGAAGTCAAGGATACCAATCTTTGTCTTCACATAGAAATAAGATCTTGTGAGTAATAAGCTGTACGTTGTAAGCTTACAGTAATGACTACACATTTTGTCAAACGCACATTAGTTAAGTACGCAGATGACCTAACAGTATCCATCGCTCATCCCTTCAGATTGTTCCCACCTCAAAAACTTCTTGACCTAAATTAATCAACGATTCTTCTTAAATGGCCTCACAATCCTTCTAAATGCCGGATGACTGATTTCAGCATAAAAAGTGAACAAGACCTACACGAACTGCTTTGGTCCCATGACCCGTCCCTCAGTGATAGGTCTGTTACAGAGAGTCTGTCAGGTGCGATCCTTTGTGGCGTACACTTTTATTGTTTTTTCCGTCCACCATATTTTACTCTTTTCCAGGGAAATCCTTCGCTTTAGTTTCCGCATAAAAAAACTCAAACTCTACCCTTGCGTTTTGTCAGTCCGCGTTTTGCTTATACTTGCTTATCGTTCCCCTTTATTCTTTCCTGGATGCCGGAAAAAAAAATATACTGCCTTGTGCAGGATTTCGAAAGCTCTTGGTAAAGGGAGTGGTACACCACTAACCGCATTAATAAACGCGGTTGCGGATAATACGTAACATACCTAAACCATCATGTTTTATGTGAGAAATCACTTCAGCTAATCATCGGCAAAATCCGGTGTTTCATTACCTAAGGTTGGCTAATACTTGCAGTCGGTCACACACACTCAACAGAAAGGATATATGTGCGAGTAACGAAGCCGAAACACATTCACAGTCTGCTTTTCATCGTCTAGTGACAGAAGACTTTGGTATTTGCCTACTTATCTCGGCTGTCTGTGAGTGACTAGAGCAGGAGATTAATGAACGTATTCTGTAATCACTATACAACAGTTTCTTGATTTTGTTACAAAATGAGACGTAACGTACCAACTCGCATACTTCAAACACTGTCCCAAAGATCATGGACACACTAAGAACTAAGTGAATTCCAGATCACGAAGTGGGCATGGACACACTCTCCATAATTATTTTTGGAGAGTAGATTCACGGTTGTATCACCGAAGGTGAGAGATCATGAACTAGAAAATGCAATATACAGCACCAGATGGTTGCCAAGACCTTGGCACAGTGAGCCAAGGTTGAACTAGTGATTCACTGGATGAAATTTGATTGCCTGTTCTAATGAGACAGCTACACAGGTTTACGATGCCTGATTGAAGGCTGAGTACTTCAAGACTACCTTTGGTCGTTATGATCAGTTGGAACTTCGCAGTGCGACCAAGTTTATAGAGACTAGCTCGGAATGTCGTCCTCGTATACATTTAGAAGCATATGGAATATGAAGACTAGCTTGAAAGTATCCACTAACAGTACCTTGAGGTAACCTGTTTGGTTAGTTAGAGTAACTCTGTATGCCTCCTCCGGAAGTCAAGGATACCAATCTTTGTCTTCACATAGAAATAAGATCTTGTGAGTAATAAGCTGTACGTTGTAAGCTTACAGTAATGACTACACATTTTGTCAAACGCACATTAGTTAAGTACGCAGATGACCTAACAGTATCCATCGCTCATCCCTTCAGATTGTTCCCACCTCAAAAACTTCTTGACCTAAATTAATCAACGATTCTTCTTAAATGGCCTCACAATCCTTCTAAATGCCGGATGACTGATTTCAGCATAAAAAGTGAACAAGACCTACACGAACTGCTTTAGTCCCATGACCCGTCCCTCAGTGATAGGTCTGTTACAGAGAGTCTGTCAGGTGCGATCCTTTGTGGCGTACACTTTTATTGTTTTTTCCGTCCACCATATTTTACTCTTTTCCAGGGAAATCCTTCGCTTTAGTTTCCGCATAAAAAAACTCAAACTCTACCCTTGCGTTTTGTCAGTCCGCGTTTTGCTTATACTTGCTTATCGTTCCCCTTTATTCTTTCCTGGATGCCGGAAAAAAAAATATACTGCCTTGTGCAGGATTTCGAAAGCTCTTGGTAAAGGGAGTGGTACACCACTAACCGCATTAATAAACGCGGTTGCGGATAAGCATCTGAACTCTTGTAGACAGCTTGTTAAAAAATTTTAATCTGATTGTAAGCATCTTCCACACACGCACCTCTTCCTGTCTTTAAGGAAGATAAGAAGCAAATATATCAAGTATTGTGCACGCATAACTTATTAGGTTTACCATACTGTATCTAGCTTGTGTTTTATGTGAAAATCATGTCAGAAATAGTCTTATCAATCGATCTTGCGACAGGGAACAGGTATCATGATCTTTAAATGGCCAAGTATTTCAACAGCCCTGCTGATTCTATTGGATATGCTAACAAGCACCACCGTCGATATACATTTGGAAAACGTCGCACGAGTGAAGCCATCCAATATCACAATCAGAACTCTGCAATGTCAACAAAATCATGGCTCGGAATAAGACAAATAGATCATTATCATTGTCCGCAGAAAGACACGCACTTGCCGAGCGTAACTCTAGGAGTGTAAATTGTGAGGGATTGCGAGTGCTTATCTGATGTATGTAATGCAGTTATTGGCCGAGAAAAAAAGGGAGAGGGTACGTCGAGTGTTGTTATAGACAATAACAAGCGATAACGACTACCAATGTATTGCGTGTTATTGACCATGACAGTGAATATCTATTGCCAAAGTGGCTTGTTCTTATGTACCACATATTGTACAAAACATCCCAGCATGCCATTGAAATGTTATGACGATACTTGGCATGATTGTGCACCTCTCGACCAACGACAGATCAGCATAAAGGTTGAGAAAAACAGTAGACTTGTTCGTCATTTTGCAAGTAGCGACATTATACTATCACGTTGTTAACTGCTATAAGGACGCACAATTCATAAGTTTCGGCGGAACACTAGTAAACATTGATTTAAGAATTTCAATTAGGACCGAGTTGGCATGTTGAATTTTAACCACGGTCTAGATATGAACAAGGTCGCAGTAGATTGCTGGGACTGTTCAGTTAGTCACAGCCTGGTCTGATTATGCTATTATCAGTGTTTGGTCAACAATATTTCACCTATCTTTCAGGCTTTAGTAATAAAGATGGCACCTCCAGAGACCCATCCTAAACTTAACATTTACGCAGAAAAGCAGCTATAACACCTTATCGACAATAAAAAATACGCTAAGGTGATTTTGAGGCTGTCTAAAGTAATACTTTAAGTGAATCCATGAACCCGCAGATTATTCAAACCAACTATGAAAATCTACATGCAACACTCACCTCACCAACTTCATACTTGTGAGATCGTTCAGTTGTTTACTTAAACAAGACTAACTGGGATAGTACCAATATCCAATATTTTAGTACGAGCTGTTGTCAACTAACTGATTCCTCCGTGTCCACTTCTAATTCTTTTGGAATGGTTACAGGTCTCTGGCGGATTACGTTGCAGTTAGTCTACCCACTTGCCTGCTGTATCTCCGATTATCCAGATAAACGGTTGGGTGGTGATTAAATTTGCAGGGACTATATGATTTTTCCAAAGACTGTTTCGCGGGTAGGTTCGTCAAGTTTCGTGCCACCAGACGGTTGGTCGGACTTGAAGTGAAAAGAAGAAAGAAAAGATGCCCAGCGAAATCAAAGGAAAGGAAGTGAGAAGAAAAAAGATAAGGAAAAACAGGGTGAAAGGAAGCGAAACGGAAGGAAAAGAAGATAGGAAAAACTTTGGTAAACATTGTGAGATTGTAGAGTCAGAGAGAGGAGAATGATCAAGTTAGGTTATACTATGGGCTATAGGAACGGAAACAGTAGCGCCAATGGTGGGGGCGGTAACCGTAGGAGACGTCTGCAAGGAGGCACGAAGGTGAGGCAAGTTCGCGCTAATAGTGGTAGTACAAAAGGTTTGACGTGAGATCTATTGTGCTGGGCTCTGTGGGATTAGTAGATTGTGTCAACCCAGTGCGTATCCCAGCTGGATGAGCCCAAACCGTGGGTCACTGTGTAGCTGCTCAGCATCTCCCTGAAGCTGTCAACAGACGGAGAGGTTGGAATCTCGGCATACATTGCATCTCAGTGGCCGCAGACTTGCAGAAAAAAGGCGTAAACCCATACGGATTTCCATCCTTCAGTGGACGAAGCCTCTAGGGTTACTATGAGGATCGCCTTAGTGGCCGTTCAGTATGTTTCCATTGTTCTAGTGACTTGGACCACTTGGTATTTTGTTGACGTTATCAAGTCACCATGTAACCTACGGCGGACAAGAGGGTAAAATCTCGGGTCTACCAGTCTGCTGTTGTAGAGTTTTGCCGCATCCCAAAAACGCTTTTCGTTACTCGCCTCTCGACCTTGCCCGGGGGCCCACTTCTCTTTCCGGACATATGGTGCAACGACGTTGAGGACCTCTGGGCGAGGTCATTTACGGGTCTTATACAGCCTCGGTAAGGGTTCCGGAGAGGGAGCACTTAACTGTCCCGGCCCGAAATGCAGTACTTCATAGGCTGCGGAGGGATCTCCTGGATAACTGGACCCAGTATATAGCTTATCGGTCAGTATTGGTTTCGGGTCTTTCTCCTCAGCGGCATAGGAAAGTCACACCCCTCAGAGCAGGCAGGATATTTTTTGAGAGTCGGGGTTAAGAGGAAACATGGTCCGGCATTTATCCAAGTCAAAGGAAAATGCGTTACTATTCGCCACTCTTCAAGCATCCGAGATCACATCTCAGAACACCTGACTCTGCTTTGGGTGTTATGGTTCTCCGTAACTTAACATCGTTGTACCGGTAACCGGATAGCAGAATTCAGTCAGTTAGTGAGGCATCACAGTCTTCAAACAGGCTAAGAGCGTGAAGCGCGTATCAGATGATTCTTACGGGTGAATCGTTTCACTAACGAACCTATCATTCAATCTTGAGGCAAATTAACACCCCAGTAGAAGAACCGTGTTTGCCAAGTAAACAGATGCAATGAGAGCGTTGATGTGGCCTGTGAGTGCCAATAAACAACACATACATGTTGTTTTTTGCTGCGATGTTGGTCGGTGGAGGGAGTCAGAAAACAGCCAGCAGCGATGAGCACGGTAACTGCTGTAAGAACGAGCACGAAATATGCACCACAGATCTAAGTTCTATGACCACTGCTTCACCTTCCGGGATGAACTGAATATTGGGCGATCTGAAGTGATTAAACCTGCTGACGCCATACACAACTACGAGTTGTTGAGAGTAACCAGGTGTTCGATGAAAGAATGGCGAGGAATGAAGTTTTACAGGGCCGGTCGGACGGAATGCACCAAAAGCTCAAATTTTCAATACGGTCAACTCTGAGTTTGGGATGTGATGACACAGGACGATTACCAAAACTTCCGGAGGCTGATGTAGCCTGATAATGTGACATATTTCTTTCGTAACGTGTCTGAGGATTCGTGACATAGACTCATTAGCTGCCGAAATTCGAGAAACTGGATCTGATCTTACGTGTTCTGGACAGCGAAAGACAACTTGAGACGTTTAGTTTTGGAACTTTCGAAGCAATAAACGTAAAATGTTTTCAGAAGTTTTCGGTATGGACTCCGCACATAACATCTATAAGGAATGGAGCGTACAACAAATATATCAATTCTGTTTTTCAGATAACCGCTGGTCGCCGCGGCTGGCGTCCATCGCAGCTGCCTTTTGATGGACAGTATAATCCACCGAGAAGGGCCAGTGGATGCGGAGGGTGTGTTGTCATTCAAAAACATCGTGGATGACATGTCACCAACTGTGATGTTTGTCATGGACAGCAGTGTAGTGGGACGGTGAGCCATCCATAGTCACTTCCCTCCATGTCCATGCATGCGTTTCCTGTCATGAGCTCCTTTAACAGTCAAGGACGCCGTACACAAACGGCTAATCGCCCTTCTGTCCTATAGTCAACAACGCAAAGTTTTGTTCCGGAAATGACATCGGTACCGGTACATAATGATTTTTTAGATTTCAGGAGTTGGGACACGTTATATGAATGGGATCCATTGGCCAGTATTGACACTCATCTATGATCGCGTCAGAAGTGGACAGCGCACGCTTCGTGATGTGTATCATCGACCTGGGTAACAAGACGAGGAATACACTTGGTTGCTGCCACATACAGGTAAAACAAAAACGCTCCGCAGGAATATATCTGCAGGGGGCAAATGAAAAAAGTGTAGTTTGTGCTACAATATGCAGCCCTATTTAAGCGCCGGGTTGAGGAAACACAAATCGTATGCGAATCAAATCCCAACGCTGTGCTACACATTATCATATAACAGAGCATGGAATGGAAGTCAACTCTCTCCCTCAACTTCATCGACTTTGAAAAGGCTTTCGACAGCGTGGACGGAGAAGTAATTTGGAAGTTGTTTCAACACTACGGTGTACCACTAGTCTTTATCAACCTCATTCAACAGCTATATGACGGTACCACATGCCAAGCAATCCACTATGGAAAGCTCAGCAACACCCTCAAAGTGAAGACAGGAGTGAGACAAGGCTGCTGCATACCATCACATCAAAAGCGGTACATTTGAAACTGTGTTACATTTTAACGTGATTTCATAACTGTATCGTAACTCCGTTATTAAAATCATCATAAAGCTATTGAATTCCCAGATGACTAATCACATATCAGACATGCAACTAGATATGGCTAATGCATGTAGAAAAGCACGGATACAACTGTCTGTGGAACAGTGCATAAACGATTCCCAAATGTTGGTGACACCAAAAGCAGATTCCTCTTGCAACAGCATAGGTGAGTCAGCTTATACTCCAGTCATACTCAAGAGAAGAAGAACTGCGTTCGATAAGACAGCCAACGTTAATAATAATAGAAATACCTCTGCATGCCCAACATGTAATAAGACCGCAACACTAAATGTTGCAGAGGACGTAAAGCTTAATGGAAGCTCCACGTCCTTTGTTAGACTAACTAGACTTCAGCCACCAAGTGTGTCATTGTCACTTCTTCCAGAAATCGAAAGCCTGAAGTCCTCCTCCATAGAGGAACTAAATGCAGAAATATGCAGACTGAAAGATGACAAACAGAATAATGCACCACAAGAAAGTATGTTAGGGTCGTTCTAGGTGTCACTCCAGCTGGATGAAATTAGAGCTCAGATTAGCAACCTCTTGCCACTGAGCATCTTGACGCATAGTGAATCCATTAATGAAGTTGGCATCGAAACACTATCCAAGGTAGATCACCTAGTAAACTTTATCACCAATGAAGTGAGTAAGAGACTTGCACTTAGATTGAACGCAATAGTTTATAACGTCCCTGACACGACAAAGTTGAAGGCGGTGCGAGAAATTTTGCTAGAACAGCAAAAATGCATGATGTCCAAGCAAAACGTTTTCGACTAAAGAAAAGTCAGTAGGACCACTGCTGTCCGATACGCTTTCAATTTAAATCACAGATAGAAGCGGAAGCATTCATCAAAGCAGAATCCACGCTAGCAAAAAACACCGTCTTCACAGGAATAAAGATAGTTCTTGATAAGACAGTGGTGGAGAGGCAGGTATACAACTGTGCTCATAGACCTGACAGTCGAAAGGCTCCAAAGCTGCAACATACTAAAGCAGTAGGTATCCCCCCAATATACCCAAGCCTAGGACTTCTCCTTCCACAAACTCTATCAAGTCAAATATAGGGAAAAACACACCGACCAACGTGGAGACGGAAGACTGTGAAATGCATGATTTGACTCAACCACCTGAAACCGTAGATCCAGACGTATCAATAGAAGGCCCCAAAGTGAAACCCGACACAGCACTAAAAGTGATAGAACTCTCGCTGAGGTCTACTGCAGGCCTAAAGTCTACTAACCACACCAGCCTAGGCCCTAGGATATCGGCCACTCGGTGTGCAACAGATAAACCAATGCTCCCATGGAACCCAACACGTACAGACGGACGCAGAAAGCATATAATGATCCGAAGTGATCCTGTAATCCCTTCTGGAATTGACAGAAGTACGAACAGTAGCTCTACCAGTAAGGTTTTGTGCACTGAGCTAAGTCTCACTAGTAACGAGAACAAAAATAGACGTCACAACAACCCAACCCTATCGTTTACTAATGAGAAAAGCCATCATCAAACCACTTATAATAGAGTGTCAGCAGGGTACTTTGCGAGGGAAAACATTGGTCGGCTGCATGGCACTAGTTTACTAGAAGACTGCCCCCGACCCAACATAACGCCAGTTACGTCCGCTGTGAATTGTAACAGAAGGCATAAACTGTTGAGGAATACAATGCAGAACAGAAGTTTACACGGACC